CCCACGTAGTCGACCGCAGTGCAAGTCTTCAACTCGGTGGCTTAAACTCATGCCGGGTGCGTGTGCATATGTGCCCAAGATCCCGAGAGGAGAATGGAGAAGGGATTGCGGTGTGGCCATCCCCCGGGGGGTCATTTCTCACTTTCTGTCTCTCTCTCTCTCTGTCTTTCTGGTGAGCGCACGCACCCTATAGCAAAAACCTCTCAAAAAAAAAAAAAAAGAAGAAGAAGAAAAAGAAAAAGAAATCTGATCTCTTTATCAGAGGAAGGAACAGGGGGTGTTACATGTGCCCTGTTCCCACCAAACAGCTAACTAAATCCCACTGATCTCAACTTATCTGGCAGGTCCACTGTCCACTCCCACCCCACATCAGAGTACACAACTCGCCCCTAGTAACAGGCAAGATAGTCTTAGCTCCCTACAGGTGGGAAATTGTGTGTGGATTCCAGGATGCCAAGCCAGGACATACACCAACAGAGAGATCTGGTCAACCTATCTTTTTTTTTTTCCTGGGTCTCTTTTCCCAGCTGGAGTCTAGTTGTCTTCTGAAATTACCCAGGTCTTTAACCTGACCATAGACCTTCCAGGTGAGGCTATGGGCTTCAACCTCAGACCAGGAGCAGGGACTCCTTGCTCTGACCTAAGGGTAAATGCAAATGCCTTCAGGGGCCAGGACAGCAGTGAGCTCCTCAGGTGGCTGAGGAGGGCTGAAGGCCTGCCCCAGGGCAGGGACTTCATCCTTCTTGCTTTCCTTTAGCCCCTGGAGCAGGGTCTGCACACCACAGAGGCCCTCAATAAAATATGCAGAACGAACAGGAGGGGACTGTAGAGAACTGGGAAGTGCACATCCCATAGAAGGCATTCTTTGGGAAGAAGCAGGCCTCTGAGCAAATTGGGCTTCTAGCTTGCAACCCTTAGCATCGAATAAACAAGGCTGTTAGTGGGTAAAATGGCAAAACGGCCGCTAAGCAATTTGGTGGCATGCTTATCCTTCTGATATTACATGTCCAGTTGAAATCAGCAGGCAGAACACGCTTTCTATTTAAGCATCTCGCACCTCCTTCCCACTAATGACGTTGGCGCTCCAATGACCCTGGACCATTGGGAAATTTGTGTACATGTTCCCACCTTCGCTTCCATCATGCTATGGCTTGTTTTCTTAGCTTTCTGTCATTGTCTTTAGAAGATGTTAAAAAAAAAAAAAAAAGGCACCTTGTTTACCAAATAAGTGACAAACTTTTTAAATAGTACGTTTCATTTACTAAGAGATGGGTAACAAATCCACTTTCATACAGACCGTGTTGCCTGTAAAACACGGACTTAAGCAGTGGCAGCTGGCTCATGCCAAAATTATTTTGAGCTCAGTTCATAGCCCTAATCTGCCACATCAAGGTTCAGGGTTCTGGATAGTGGGGGCATCCCTGCAGCGTACTTTTTTTTTTCTTTTTTTGGAGAGGTTTTTGCTACAGGGCGCATGCGCTCGCCAGACAGAGAGAGACAGAGAGAGAGAAAGCAAGAAATCACCCCCCAGAGGGGATGGCCACGCCGCAATCCCTTCTCCATTCTCCTCTCGGGATCTTGGGCACACACACACACACATGCCTGGCGTGAATTTAAACCACCGGATCCGGGACTCGAACCGCAGTCAACTACATGGGAGTCCAGCGACATAGCCATTACGCTAACTGCTGGTCCCCCTGTAGGGTATTTTTAAGGTGAAGAATTAGCCCTGGCTGTTGCCTTATTCAGGGGAATCTGTGTCCCCTTCCTGCTACCCCATCTCCCTGGTATCCATGGCCCAATTTTTTGGGTATGTAGCAAAGCCCCGTGGACAAAAGGAGCGTGGCAAGTCAAGCAACCATGGTGGGACAGGCAGGCTAGGGAGGAGCCCTCTGGGTACATTTGCCCTAGTTCGAGGATGCATTGACAAGTACGAGACCATGAGCCTCAGCACGGAAGCCCAGAGCCAGTGTCTAGACTATGGACTCAGCTTGAGCTCCTCTCTTAGGAGCTTTGATGCTCCAGTGAAGTAGGAGGATACAATTGGAAATCTCCTCCAGGGAGACGAAGTCTGCAGCAGAGTCCACGTGGAGAAACACACTTGGAAAATCAAGCCACATCATTACCAATTTGGCCAGAATGTGTCCCGATCCGGGGGGACAGCCGAACAGGTTTCCTGAGTGAAGGAGTGAGAGCCGGGACAAGCGGCGTAGTGT